TTACCCTAACAAAAGACTCCAGGGATAATGCTCAAGGGACCATCTTCAAATCTTTTAGAATCACTTAATGGACCATATCCCTCAGCACCAAAACTACTCCCTGAAAGTAAGTTAAGCACTTTGGGAAGCTGTGCTAATTCTTCTTCAGGCCATTGAGCTAATTAATCCTTCAGAGCTCTAGTAAATTATTACTTCGGTATACTCAATGATAAATCCTACTGGCTGGATTGGACCTGATTACATGCCTTTTTAAAAGATACCCAACTTAAGTGGGAGACATAGCAGATTATATAACTTAATTTTTAAAAGCCAAATGCCCTAGGGTATGCTAAGAGAAAACAGAAGAGGGAGAAATATACAAAATAAGCAAAGTAGAGAAGATAATGAGGTTTTGAAGGAGCCAGCTACTTGGATAAGGCCAGAAGAAGAAGCCTCCAGGCAGAAGACACCGTTCCTCAGACAGCAAGGTCTAGAATGCATGTAATTTTTTTTTTTAAGATTTTACTTATTTGTCAGAGAGAGAGAGAGAGAGAGCACAAGCAGGGGGAGCAACAGGCAGAGAGAGAAGCAGGCTCCCCACTGAGGGGAGCTGGATTCAGGGCTCGATCCCAGGACCCTGAGATCATGCCCTGAGCCAAAGGCAGACACTTAACCGACTGAGCCACCCAGGTGGCCCTAGACTGCATGTTCCGTTGGGCTGAAGCAAAACAGGGGGAGGCAGGGTTCAGTGGCAGGTGCTGGTCAAGTGCCAGATACTCAAAGGCCTCTAATGATAATCTAGAGAAAAAGGATTAATAGAAGAGTTGGTGGAATTTGAATAAAGTACGCAGTTTATTGATAGTGATGTACCAATGTTAATCTCTTAGTTTAGACAAATGTCCTACAGTTATATACGATAAGGATGTTAGCAGAAACTCGGTGAAGGGCATATAGGACTATTTGTACTATGTAACTTTTCTCAAATCTAAAATTATTCCAAAATGCGAAGTTTACTTAGAAAAAAAGGAAGAAATCCAAAAACAGGCATTCCAACAACATCCTCCACTCCACAAGCTGAAGCTTTTAATGTTTAGAAGTTTCCAAATTTATTTTTCAATATTTACCTGACTGTACCATGATTACCTACGAATTGCAAAAAAAAAAAAACTTGGAAATTATAGAAAGCATTCTTTTATTTCATAACTTAGAGATAATAATTATTAACATCTTTCTTTCTATGCTATAGATATGTGATTTTTTTCAACCATCACTGAGATTACTCTCCTGAGCTTTTCCCCCCCTTAATATGATATCAAAAGCTTTCCCTCTCATGTAATTTAATTTTTTTCTCTTTTTTCTTTTTTTTTAAGATTTTATTTATTCATTAGAGACAGAGAGAGAGAGAGAGAGAGAAGCAGAGGGAGAAGCAGGCTCCCAAGGAGCAGGGAGTCCGATGCGAGACTCAATCCCAGGACCCCAGGATCATGACCTGAGCCAAAGGCAGATGCTTAACCATCTGAGCCACTCAGGCGCCCTAATTTAATTTTTTTCAAAAGCACTTAAGTGACCACACAACTGTCTACACACAGTTGTACCATAATGTTTTACCTATTCCAAATTCACTGGACATTTACATTACTTACTCCCAACTTTTCTCCATTTATAATTGGTACCACAATGAATATCATATGCATATATTCAATGTAGATGGCTTATTTCTTTGGGAGAAATTCCAAAAAGTGGAGTTCCTGAGTTGAAGGAAATGTTTATTTAACAATAAATGCCATCAGTATGTTTCCCAAAACAATGGAACAACTGGCACTCCCAAGAGCAGCATCCCGACAGCCAGCTCCCCCAGCCCACCAGCAAGTGGTATCAGCATGTTTTTAATTGTTGTTAATTAGGAGGCTAAAAAATGTTCATCATTACATTTAAATGTATATTTCTTTGCTTTCTAGTAAGACATTTCTGTTTCAGCTACTTTTATTCTGTCTTCCATGAATTGCCTGTTCATGTCTTTTGTCTGTTTCTGCACTGAGATCTTAGTGTATCTCATTATTTCTTCTAAGTCCATTGTGTGTATGGACCTTCTGTCAGTAGTTGTAAATATTTGCTGGTTTATTTCCATTTTAATTTTTATTATGATGTTCTTTGATGTACAAAGTTTAATTTGGATGTGTATATATCTCATTTTCCTTTATAATTTCTTCTATTCTTAAAAGTTTATAAAGACCTCACTGCCCCAACACTCAACCAAACAAATATTAGCATTAGTTAAAAAGAACACTTAAAATTTAGAAGGGGAAAAGCCCGATCATTCATCAATCTGAAGAAATTAGCTGTTTTTATCTTGGAGACTTCAAATGTAGAGGTCTGGGATTACAGAGTGATTGACAATACTAATTGGATACCTTCAGTCATAAATAATTATTAACAAATAATACTTACTAAAACAAACCCTTTTCTTAGGGGTATCCAAGACAATTGTTAAAATTTTTGAATCACCAGGAATACTGTAGCTGAGAGAGTTTCCAAAAGAACCCAACAAAATTAATCTCAGGGCATGACTATGTCAGGAAAAATCTAGTTCAGCCAGTTCCCATGGACACAGAGGGCTATATTACACAGCATGAGCACCTTAATTACTAGCAGTTATCTTTCCCATCACATTTCTAAGCAAGATTCATTTTCTCTACTTTTGTCTTAATAGCTACAAAGAAGGGAGAACATTAAATAACATGTACAGCAGAAAGGACATAAGCTTTAGAATTACTAGATGTGGGTTCAAATCCTGGATCCACCATTCACTAGTTGTTTACCCTAAAGAACTCAAAGGGCCTCTCAAATCTTCATCATCTATAACACGGGAGTCAGTATTAGTGGCACAGACTGTGCTCTTAATAAATTATTTTGTAATGATTTCCAAAGAAATGCCTTCCTTGTTGTAAAATCAGGACTAAGAATTAAGCGTTTCTTTTTCAACACAATCTTTCTGTTCACATATAAGTATGTATGTATACATTTCTTTTGCTTTCCTTTTGTTATTATTTTTAAGACATAGGTAAGTGACTAAATCTTTTTTTTGTTTTGTTTTGCAAGAAGCCTAGAGAAAAAAATTAAACAATTTTCAGAAATTATAGGAAGAAAATCCCCACTGTACTATTACAATAATAGGCAACTAAGGGAACTGTTTCCTTCATCCCACTAAAAGCAGTACCTCAAAAGCCCCTCAAATAATTCAATTTCCATTTCCACTAGCATTTTATTGCATCTATATGCACAAACTAAATCCCAACCTTCTTCTAACCATGGAGCTATGTTCAATAGTTGAGGCAAACAGCAACAACCTCAGATTTGAGAATAAACCACGGGTGAAACTTTTGAGAATGGACCACTGGCCATAAAAACTAGTCTGACAATGGAAGAACAACAGCAAAAAGCCACTTTCTATTAAAACTGGAAAACTATTTACAATAAACATATATTTGGCTATAATGGAACTATTAAATACTAAATTACTAAAAAATCTTAGTTTTGAGGACCGAACATTCTTAAATTGTTGGCCTAACTGTGTCTTCTTTTTCTAGAATAAATGTTGCAACAACCATGGAATAAAAGAATCTAAAGCAATTTGCATTTGTGTGAAAATATAGCTGCAGAGGAGAACAACAACACAATAAATCACAACCTCTCTCTTACAAGAAAAACATAACGTTTAAAAAAGCCCCACTGTTAGGGCCAGGTACAATCCAAATTTATTTCTAGAATTCCAGTGTTGCATAACTAAAGTGTATTTCAATGGAGCTCAACATCAAGTTACATAATTACCAAATTACGGCATTCTATTTTGCTTTTTCAGCAAAGAACATGATGGGACTGGCTGACAGCAAGAGAAGAAAAGAATTTAAAGCAGCATATTTTGCTTATAGCAGAAAACAACTTTTATTTTAAAAGCATTTAGATGGAAGATCACAAATTTTCAGTATTTTGTCCCAAAACTAAGCAATATAAAATGGTCTTTAAAAACCTCAAATTTTGCTTGTCGTTTTTTCAAGGTATTTTTAGTTGTTTCCATTGTTTATTAAAAAAAGCTTATTCAACAAATATTTAAGATACTTTTAAAATATCATTAGAAAATATGTATCAAATGTATATGCTTCCTTCCCACGGAGAGTAGCATAAATGTTGGGACATTCAACTACATTTTACAGAAAATTTAGTAACAGTTGTCTACTTGTGTAGCAATAATCATAAAATAATGGAATAGATATTCCAGGAAAATACCATCTGCATTTGTTGATTTAAGTTTAAAACATCAGAAGGGTGCCTGAGTGGCTCAGTCGGTTAAGCATTCAACTCCTGATTTTGGCTCAGGTCATGATCTCATGGTTGTGAGATCAAACCCTGTGTTAGGCTCCGTGCTGGGCATGGAGGCTGCTTAAGATTCTCTCTCTCCTTCTCCCTCTGCCCATTCCCCACCTTTTGCTCTCTTAAAAAATAAATAAATAATAAATTTAAAACATCAGTAAATTAGCTGAATATTAAAAAGCTCTTATCTAAAACTTATTGGTGTATTAATAACCAGAATGAGGGATATTCATTTTAGAGCAAATGTACAATCTCCTCTAAAACATGACTTCAATGGAAGAGCACAAATGCAATCATTAGAAGATTAAACTACTCTGAGAAGAGCTCAAGCAAAGAATTATAATAAACTAAGTAGCATCTCTTATTGTCTTGTTCTCAGGGAAGGTTTACAAATTGGAAGTTGTTTTACTTAAAACAGTTTAAAAGGCAAATAAATGAGGTCAGAGCTTCAGAATTTTTCTTGATGTACCTATTCAGAAATCCTAGATGACTGATAAAAGTCTACAGGAGAGAATGTAACACAATGTCAATAAATGATACTATGATTATTAGACTTAAATTAATAAACCTAAAACAACTAAAGCTATCTGATAAAAACTTCATTTAAAAGTTATTCATTGTGTACTAAAACTGTAAAAGATGGTGATGATTACCGTGACTCAACAGGGTTGCACCATCCCTGGGCTTCTTTTCTTCCTCAGCTTGCTCCTAGAACACAGAAAACGTGGCTTAGACAATATTTCTGGATAATACACCGGAAACAAACTTTTCTGTGTGCAGGAAGCCACGCCATGAAAAACACTGGAAAGACGGGGACAATACATCAGCTGCCAGTGCCCTCGGGTGGTGTGCAAACTCCAGCAGGCATTCAATGATCATTTAGACATGGGAGGCATCCTTTATTACGGTCTTAATTCTTTGTTGGCTAAAATAGGAGAGAGACTAAGGTTCAATAACAGTTAATACCGAAGTTGATAAGGGAGCCCCCCTGCTGCCTGGGGTGGCAGTCGTGCTAGAGGCAGGCTGATGGAAGAGGCAAGTCCACACCAGAGCCAAGCCCTCCAACGTCCTTCAGCCTACTGGCATCTAGCACAGTTTATTAAGGTTCAGTCAAGATTACACTATCTAATCTTAGCCAAACTAACCTGCAGAGAAGAGACAACGGACTTCAAGGGATTGCTCTGAAAAAAACCACAGACTGAATATGACAAACAGCACAAGCGCCCAACAGGAACATGGCAGAGCTTCTCTCTACAGAGCAAGCAATTCATCAGACACACTCTTGTAGCAACTCTGGAAGGAAGGCTGACCACCTAACAAAGACTAAGGGGATAACTTCTTTTTGAAAGATACTCAGAGTAGCAAAGAGCTTTTGTTAATGGGTATCCAGAAATGGGTTTCATTTAAATAATTTTGTGGCCATAAACAATGTATGCCCCCTACACAAACTCTCACAATTATACATTTACAACATTTGGGAACAGTTTCCCAATTTCAGAATCCTCCAAATGAAGGGTTTCATAGGGTTTTGAACTTACTTTTTGAAATATAAATATGCAATATTTTTGATTGGTTCCCAAGAAAAACTGATTGTCATCAGAGAAGATGAAAATTCAGCAGATGAAATACATAAAAACCTTCACATAATTGATGGGAGATGCTGAGAAATGAGAGTCATGACTTAGCAGGCTTGGCGAACGATCATTTCTTCAAGTTAGTTCTATATATCTTTGGGATAGAGCTTAAGCTATGACAAGTGTGCCTGATTGCCCCAGTTTTCCCCAGACTGATCTAGTCAGTCACAGCACTGAGGTCCCACGTGTGGGGAACCCCTAAGGTCTAGACAAACAGGATACTCAGTCATCCTGGCTATGACAACCATTACAACTGAACCTAAAAAACAGACTTCAGATAATGGCAACATAAAGCTCTGAATCAAGCTTTCAAAAAAGGATAATGTATATTAATATTTTCATGAGAGCAAACTTGTAACTGTTAAAATAAATACTGTTAATTTCATTTTTATATTACACAGTTTTATAATTTCTTTTTTGGTCTGTGGCTTTGAGGTACAAAATACAATTTGTGTAATAGTAAATCATACAATTTTCAAATAAACAAGTAATCCACATATATTAAGATATGTGATTAATGTTTCTTTATTGATGGGTAAGCAAACCAGGCAACCACTTGCCGATACAGCCATATACAATTGATTGTGATAAATTCCTTGAGATGCCTTAGCTTGATGTCTTTCTATACAAATCATTTGTTTTTTGAATTTGGATGGTTCAAGGTAAAACTATACATAGAAAGAAGTAATGCAGTGAAAACTTCCCCACCCTTCCTCCTCCATCTGACCAACTCACTACCTCCACCCAGTAATCACTGTCATTAGACTCTAGTATGTCCTTGCAAGGTCTTCTTTAAAAAAATACAAAGGAACATGAATATATAATCTTATTTTCTTGCTCTGATGCATGGAGCTAGCACATAATACTGTTTTCTACCTCTCTTATTTTTACAAAATACCTCAGAGATCTTTACCAGGTTATGAAGAGCATTCTCATTCTTTCTTCACAGCTGCACAATATTACACTGAATGGATATTTCATGATTTACATAACTGGTTCCATATTTATGGATGTTTAGGTTGTTTCTAATCTTTACTTCCAGTCATATAATGCTACAGTGAAAAACTAGCACATATGTCATTTTGCATATGTGCAAGGATATCTATGGAATAACTTCTCAGAGGTCAAACTGCCAAGGGATGCCTGGGTGGCTTAGTCAGTTTGGTGTCTGACTCTTCGTTTCGCCTCAGGCCATGATCTCAGGCTCATGAGATGGAGCCTCACACTGGGCTTTGCGCCCAGCATGTAGTCTGCTTGAGATTCTCTCTCTGCCCCTCCCCCTGCTCATGCTTGCTCACTGTCTCTCAAATAAATAAATAAATGTTAAAAAAAAAAAAAAGAAGTGAAACTGCTGGTCAACAGAGACTCATGTTTTCCTGCTGCTAAGCCCCACATGAGCTGCCTCACTCAACAAATCCACAAGCCTTGGATCAGAGCCTGTGTTCCTTAGCCTGTCAACAGGGTGCGTTATCAAATTTTTGGATTTTTGACAAGATGATGAGTGAAAAATATCTTACTAGAGTTTTAATTTCCATTTGTTTCATTAAGACAAAACTGAAGATTACTTTGTGTATTTAAAAACCATTTGTATTTCCTTTTCTGTGAAATATCTCATTTTTTAAAGGTTCATCTTTTATTTATTTATTTTTTTTTTAAAGATTTTATTTATTTATTTGAGAGAGAGAATGAGATAGAGAGAGAGCATGAGAGGGGAAAGGGTCAGAGGGAGAAGCAGACTTCCTGCCAAGCAGGGAGCCTGATGTGGGACTCGATCCCGGGACTCCAGGATCATGACCTGAGCCGAAGGCAGTCGCTTAACTAACTGAGCCACCCAGGCGCCCCTTTATTTATTTTTTTAATTATTATGTTATGTTAATCACCATACATTACATCATTAGTTTTTGATGTAGTGTTCCATCATTCATTCTTTGCACCCAGTGCTCCATGCAGAACGTCCCCTCTTTAATACCCATCAACAGGCTAACCCATCATCCCACCCCCCTCCCCTCTAGAACCCTCAGTTTCTCAGAGTCCATCAACTCTCATGGTTCATCTACCCCTCCAATTTCCCCCCCTTCTACCTTTTTATTTTTTTATACATATAATGTATTATTTGTTTCAGAGGTACACATCTGTGAATCAGCAGTCTTCCACAATTCACAGCACTCAACATAGCACATATTCTCCCCAATGTCTATCACCCAGCCGCCCCATCCCTCCCACCCCCCACCACTCCAGCAACCCTCAGTTTATATCCTGAGATTAAGAATTCCTCATATCAGTGAGGTTATATGATACATGTCTTTCTCTGATTGACTTATTTCGCTCAGCATAACACTCTCCAGTTCCATCCATGTCGTTGCAAAGGGCAAGATTTCATTCCTTTTGATGACTGCATAATATTCTATTGTGTACATATACCACTTCTTCTTTATCCATTCATCTGTCGATGCACATCTTAGCTCTTTCCATAGTTTGGCTATTGTGGACATTGCTGCTATAAACATTGGGATGTACGTACCCCTTCGGATCCCTACATTTGTATCTTTGGGGTACATACCCACTACTGCAACTGCTAGATCATATGGTAGTTCTATTTTCAACATTTTGAGGAACCGCTATACTGTTTTCCAGAGTGGTTGCACCAGCTTGCATTCCAACCAACAGTGTAGGTGGGTTCCCCTTTCTCCACATACCCGCCAACATCTGTCATTTTCTGAATTGAATTTTAATTTTAGCCATTCTGACTGGTGTGAAGTCATATCTCATTGAGGTTTTGATTTGGATTTCCCTGATGCCGAGCAATGTTGAACACTTTTTCATGTGTCTGTTGGCCATTTGGATGTCTTCTTTGGAAAAATGTCTGTTCATGTCTTCTGCCCACTTCTTAATTGGATCATTTGTTCTTTGGGTGTTGAGATTGATAATTTCTTTAGAGATTATGGATACTAGCCCTTTATCTGATATGTCATTTGCAAATATCTTCTCCCAGTCTGTCAGTTGTCTTTTGGTTTTTGTAGACTGTTTCTTTTGCTGTGCAAAAGCTTTTATCTTGATGAGGACAAAATAGTTCATTTTTGCACTTGCTTCTCCTGCCTTTGGTGATGTTTCTAGGAAGAAGTTGCTGTGGCTGAGGTCGAAGAGGTTGCTGCCTGTGTTCTCCTTTAGGATTTTGATGGACTCCTGTCTCACATTTAGGTCTTCAACCATTTGGAGTCTATTTTTGTGTGTGGTGTAAGGAAATGGTCCAGTTTCATTCTTCTGCATGTGGCTGTCCAATTTTCCCAACACCATTTGTTGAAGAGACTGTCTTTTTTCTATTGGACATTCTTTCCTGCTTTGTCAAAGATGAGTTGACCATAGAGTTGAGGGTCCATTTCTGGGCTCTCGATTCTGTTCCATTGATCAGTGTGTCTGTTTTGTGCCAGTACCACACTGTCTTGATGATGACAGCTTTGTAATAGAGCTGGAAGTCCAGAATCGTGATGCCGCCAGCTTTGCTTTTCTTTTTCAACATTCCTCTGGCTATTCGGGGTCTCTCCTGGTTCCATACAAATTTTAGGATTATTTATTCCATTTCTTTGAAAAAAGTGGATGGTATTTTGATGGGGATTGCATTGAATGTGTAGATTGCTCTAGGCAGCATTGACATCTTCACAATGTTTTGTTCTTCCAATCCATGAACATGGAACGTTTTTCCATTTCTTTCTGTCTTCCTCAATTTCTTTCATGAGTATTTAATACTTTTCTGAGTACAGATCCTTTGCCTCTTTGGTTAGATTTATTCCTAGGTATAGTATGTTTATGGGTGCAATTGGAAATGGGATAAACTCCTTAATTTCTGTCTCTTCTGTCTTGGTGGTGGTGTATAGGAATGCCACTGGTTTCTGTGCAATGATTTTATATCCTGCCACTTGACTGAATTCCTGTATGAGTTCTAGCCGTTTTGGGGTGGAGTCTTTTGGGTTTTCCACATAAAGTATCATATCATCTGCAAACAGTGAGAGTTTGACTTCTTCTTTGCCGATTCGGATGCCTTTAATTTCTTTCTGTTGTCTGATTGCTGTGGCTAGGACTTCTAATACTATGTTGAATAGCAGTGGTGAGAGTGGACATCCCTGCCGCGTTCCTGACCTTAGGGGAAAAGCTCTCAGCTTTTCCCCATTGAGAATGATATTTGCTGTGGGTTTTTCATAGATGGCTTTTATGATACTGAAGTATGTACCCTCTATCACTATACTCTGA